TCCTGTTTTATCAGAGTCACTGTGGTTACAGCTGCTAATGAAACACTGTGGGAGGATTCACATGAGCAGCAAATCCACATCAACCACAAACCAACCGTGGGCTCAGCCTGCAGCTGGCAGCACATTTAATCTTTATTTATATTGTACATTTAAATTTGTACATATAAATAAAACATGTCAAAAAGTTGAACTATAGTAAAACATAAGAGTAACACAATAACTTAGATACTTTCAAATTAAGAGTTTCATGTTTTGAATTGAAACATTAATCTGAGCCACCGGAGGACAATCATGATGTACTTTAGAGTGCTAGTGTAAATGTGCTATATGCACTATTGTAAAAAAAAAAAAAAAAAAAAGTAGGTTCATTATGACATGTTTACATTGATCAGAGAACCATCATATCAAACTTTAACCTGCAGCAGCTCAGCTGGAGATTAAAGCATATCTTACATGTTTGAACTGAACTCTCCTCTGTGATCGCTTTCACTTATGATCAGTCACAGCTCTCTGCAGCCTTCAGTGTCAATCTGTCGTTTCTATATTACAACTTTACAAAGACTTTGTTTAGAATGAATACATGACATCACAAAAACAACAGGCACTGATAACTGTATCGATTACTAACACTAATGATGCTCTGAGAAAAAGCCTTTAACTCATCAGCTTGAAAAAAGAAAACACTGACATCTTTCATCATTAAAAATACATTTTATTTCTTTTTTTTTTTTTATACAGAGTCTTTTACAACAACATGCTGGACATCTTTATTCTGCTTTTGTTACATATGAGAGTTGGAAAAAAAATGTTCATAATATGACTTGTATCCAGTTGGCAATGAGATCATTTTAATATTCATTATGTTTTTAATTTGGAGTTTTTTTTTCATCCTCATGATGGCAGTGAAGTGTGACACAGATGGAACAAAACTCACATGATCACAGTTGGAGTGCACTCTAATAAACCTTGAATAATAATAACACTAACCATGAATCCCTTTTTTTCCTAGTTTGGAGTCGCTTTGGATGTCTTCTCTAGAACAATTTCAAGACTATGGCGTCTCATCTGTGTGAGTTTTCATGTGGCGCAACAAAACACTTTTACGTGTGAACATTTTCTCACAGATTTTACAAATATATGGTTTCTCACCTGTGTGAGTTCTTATGTGAACTAACAAATGACTACTACATGTGAACTTTTTCCCGCATGTGTTACAAGGATACGGCTTCTCACCTGTGTGCGTTCTCATGTGCTCCAGCAAATTACTGCTTCGTGTGAACATTTTCCCACAGCTTTTACAATGAAAAGGTTTCTCACCTGTGTGTGTTCTTAAGTGCACTGACAAATGACTACTACATGTGAACTTTTTCCCACAGGTTTGACAAGGATACGGCTTCTCACCTGTGTGGATTCTCATGTGAACCAGCAGATGACTGTTCTGACTGAAGGTTTTTCCACATGTCTGGCAGGAATGTAACTTCTCTTTCGTGTGGATTCTCATGTGGCGCAACAGATTGCTCCTATGAGAAAAACTTCTCTGACATATTTCACAAGAATGTGGCTTCTCACCAGTGTGGATTCTGTAATGCTCTTTTATTTGGAAACTTTTCTTAAAGCTTTTTCTACAAACATCACATTTTAAAGACTTTTTACCTGTTTCAGTTTTACATTGACTCCCTGAAATGGGACAGTCTTCAGCATTGTTATTGGCTCCCCTGTTCGTATTTCCAGTTGATCCTGGATCTACTTTCTTGCTTCCTTCCTGTTCCTGGGTGTAAGTTTCAGGACAGCTGTGAGGGAGTTGCCTCTCTCTGTCTGGTTCACTGTGCTCTCCTTCCTCAGCAGCAGTCACCATAAAGGTATCAGTCTCCTCCTTCAGTCCCAGCTGCTCTCCCTCCTGACTGCTGCACAGTTCCTCCTGTTCCTCTTTAATCTGTGGAGGTTCTGGTTCCTCTTGGTCCACACTTGGCTGGAGTGCCTGATTAGTGAGATCCTCCTCTTCCTTAAAAATGTGTTGCTGTTGGAGGTCTGCAAGGATGAAAGGAGAAAAGAAAAACGCATATTAAAATATCGATTGTAATAAGGCTCCACAGTGTGAGTCAGTAAAGAAATCCATAAAAAAATGTCCTCTTCTCGTCACTGCTGATGATCGCTGCTGTCAGCCGTTAAAAATATTGGAGAATGAGTGTTGATGTTGGAATCCTCACAGTCAGTTATGAAGTGAGAAAGTCGCATCAAGATTATTAGAAGGAGAAAGACCACATTGTGATGTTGTCTGTCCAGGACATGTCAGTGGAGATGACGACGCAGAGAAACCAGAAGGTATGGACTCTCTCCACACAGTCTGCGTTGATGTAAAGGGGGGCTAAGTCAGTGCTGTGGCTCCTTAAGTCGACAATGACCTCTTTGGTTTTCTTGGTGTTCAGTGCCAGGTTGTTCTCTGAACACCATGCTGCCAACTTCAGGACTTCTTCTCTGTAGAAGAAGGGATGGCTACCTGATCTAGTGAGAGGTTGCAGATTCTTGTGAAGATGAGGGTGAGCTGGTGGGCACATGCTCTTAGCACCTTGCCGGGTACTCTGTCTGGATCGGCAGCCTTCCTGGGGTTCACTGCTTGGAACACCTGTCTGACATCGTGCTCTGGTACAGTGAGTGGAGCGGTGCAGGAACCAGGTGAAGGTCAGGATGAGGATGGGAACAGGGCTGAAGCAGGTGAGTGCTGCTGTTGTGGTGTTTCGGAGCAGGTGAAGAAGCAATTTATCTCCTCTGCCAGCGGTTCACTCAGGCTCATCAACAGAGGAACATCAGCAGAAGTACAGCAGTAAGAGAGAGAAGTTAAAATTGATGATACAGCTGAAAAGCTGCAGGCAATAAATAATATATATGTTCAATGACTGAATAATCAACATGAAATGTGTGGATGTTAAATGGAAAGCTTGTGGTGATTGTTTTGCATTAGCGCCCTTCAGCATGTACTCTAAAATAAAAGCACTGTTTCCGGTTACATTAACATTCAGGGCTAAAATTCTACAGACTGCTCTCTTGCCTGATCTCTACATTAGCAGGAAGAGTACGCTTGGAATCAGCATCACATACAAAGGAAATTTTTAAATGCTGCAGTAAAATGAGAAAAAGTAATAATTATAATTTTAGTAAGATCTAATACATATACTAAAAGATCAGAGGAGAAATTCTGTCCATTAGGGCTGGGCGATATGGCCTAAAATCCATATCACGATATAATTTGAAGCATGTGCGGTAACGATATATATCACAATATTTTATTTTCTTCTGTATAACGTACTTTACACACTATAAGGCACACTTAAAATCCTTTAATTTTCTCAAAAATCATCAGTGCGCCTTATGTATGAATTCTGGTTGTGCTTACTGACCTTGAACTGATTTTATGTGGTACACTGCGCTCAAAAATCTGTCAAAAATGTTTTAGTACGACTTTGGTAAGCTACAAAGCCGCACCGCTTGATGGATTGTTGGAGCATTACGGCTGCCGTAGTCAGGAGCCTCGCGGAGTAATGTGGGTCCTAAACTCCGTTAGCTTCAGGTCAAGTCAAACGAACACTGCAGCATCACTGAGAGTTAAAAACTGTCTAAATTCTTTCATCTTTAATAAAAATTATCAGGGTTGCTGCTTTACCAGGTGTAACAATTAAGTTTAACATCCAGGCATCCATGAAAACGGAATGTATTAAATTTAATAGAGTTAGAAGTTAGCAGGAAGTTAGCTCGCTAGCTTCCACCTAAACATGATATAGCATGTTCTGACTGAGAGATTTCTGGAGAAATTCAAACGTACAGCTCTGCTATCACTTCCAACATAAATGAAGACAGAAAACTAAACAGCAGTGACGTTTGTAGGGTTACTGAAGTTGGACTAGCTGGTATATAATGATGTGCTACGTGATCGCTAGCAAAACAGCTATGTTAGCATAACATTATCTCGGTGAAGCTGAAGGATGAACGCAAACGTTTTTCCACTCAATAAAAGTTAACGTGAGGGTTTCCGGTGGTTAGGGACAAATGCAATTGCATGGAAGGATGCTATAAACGGACCAAATTTCAGTCAGGAGAACAACTGAGATAATCCATCCACAATACGAGGTTAGTTATTAATATACTGCAACAACATGGGAACAGAGCAGCTGCCAGAGAATTCAGCAGTAATGAATCAATGGTAGGGAAGTGGAGGAAGCGCAGTTTTTGGCTTTCCCCATATTCCAAAAGTGGGTTAAATCTGTACAGTTGGCCAAATTTATATCGTTTCTACCGTTTACCGTTTATACCGCCCACCCCTACTGTCCATTACAAATCTTAACAGATCCCTCCTGAAGGACAGATCGAGTGCCCCGGCACTGACCTTCCTGTGAAGACTGAAGAGATGCCAGCTCAGCAGGTGGTGGTGATCAGCTGACAGCTCAGTTTCAGTTTTCAGTTTTATTTGTCATATGCAAGTTAGCACAGGGTCAACATCGCAATGAAATGTATTTGACGAGCAGAAGACAGTCACTCAGCAGAATGGTACAGTAGAAGAAAAATAAATTAAAAAAATAAAATAAATAAATAAAAATAAGAAATAAAATAAATAAAATAAAAATAGTAAAGAGCAAAATATTAATAAGATGTAGTAAAGGAAAAAAGAGAGATATTTCCAGTTAACTGACTAAATATATCTATGTATATATAAATATATGTACACACTCGTGATTAAATAAAGTAAATCTTAAATAGGAACGTGAGGGGGGGGAGGGGCAGATGGGACACTGCACAGGAATGAGCAGCAGTACAAACTGAACAGTACAAAAGTTTTGTTTTTGTTTTTTGTGGCAGTTGTTACAGTATTGCACTTTTTTAAAATATAAATATCAATAAAGTGGAGTGACCAGTGCAGATTAAACAGAGAACTTGTGAAGCTGCAGGGTAGTTTCTGAGTGCGTCCCGTGGACTGTGCTGTGTGTGTTTAAGTGTTGTGGTTGAGGTGTCGTATGGCTTGATGGTAGAAACTGTTTTTAAGTCTTGTAGTCCGAGCAGACAGCCTCCTGTAACGTCTGCCAGATGCTCTCTACACCCAGCTGATAACAACACACCATTACAAAATCAGCTGAGAGCTTTAACCACAAATCAAGCTCGCATTAGCCGGGCTGTCTGTGTGTTAGCTGACTCACCAAAACTTTAAACTCCAATCAGAGATAACGGGTATCACAGGGCTAGTTATCAACTCTCACCGGCTGAGAGACAGACTGTCTGCCCACTGAGGTTTCCCGAGCCTCGGTGTGGGGTCCCCGTGCTCACCCTGACAGCAGCAGCAGCTACAGGACAAACTCCTCGTTTAAAACGGCGTTAATGAGAATCACGGCAGCATCAGAGTGAGACTTACCTGCTGTGTGCAGCTTGATTTCCGGTTTCCAGGTGATATCCAGCAGTCTGCGCTGACGGTCGATCTCTTCCTCGTACTGGACGATCGTTTTTTCAAACTCCAAGAATATTTGTTCAGCAGCAGCAGTTAGTCGCTCGTTGATAAACTCTCTCAGATACTGAACTGAAGCCATTGTTGCTGACACAGCTCACACACACAGCACAACAGTCTCTGTGCTCAGGCACACACACGTAAGACGATAATGGCGCCTTTCCTTTGTTTACTTCCGCCTGTGTCACGCGGTGAGGTTCCGGAAGTACACGAGTGTTGCCTTTAGTTCCTCTTTAACGTCTCGGTTTTCTCAGATACTGAACTGAAGGCATTGTTACTGACACAGCTCACACACTCAGCTCACACTCGCCGCTGATTCAACACAGGAGTAAAGCTACTTCCGCCTTTCCTTTGTTTACTTCCGCCTGGTGTCACACGGTCAAGCTCCGGCAGACAAGGGCTTCCGTTCCACTTCGTTTACGTAACATCTCAGTTTCTAGTAGGAGGGAATATTAGTTACACATTCCTGAAAAATAAAAGGTTTCAGTAACATCATAAGTGGATTTTTCCCACCTTGATGCTAAAATCTGATTCCCAGTTTGAATCCAGTGGCTCCAGAGACTGTTTGGTATCACAGGCTGTGGATCTCTGTGGTGAACAGGGTTTGGAATATAAAAAAGAATGAGATGCTCTCTGCTGAGTAAGCTGTACCTGTGCAGGCTGCCTCCTCTTACATCCCACCATCAAACATCTCACACTTTATGGAGCACGTGGCCAAAAGGACTAACACCTCAGCTCACCTCCATTCACCTGATTCAGGTGTGTTGACCCAGGGTGAGATCTAAAACCTGCAGGGAACCTCTACTGGTACCATCAGAAGTCTGGTTCACGCCCACAGATTCCACATTCAGAGAAAATAGAAAAGCTGAAGTTTAGAAAAGATCAAGACAAAAGCGATTTTTATCTTCAGATCTCCTCTGCTGCAGTGACAGACTCTGCTGTGTACTACTGTGCTGTGAGGCCCACAGTGACAGGAAACAGCAAAACTCTGTACAAAAACCTTTGTAGAGACAGAGCTGCTGTGGAAGCACAAAACT